TTCAGGCCCATTTGTGAAAGGCCTTACGAATATCAGAAATCACCCCTTTTTTTCTTGGCGAAATCTATTAAGATTGTAGGATAAATGAATAAGGTTAATCCCTTTTCAAGACAATCGTTGAGACTCGAGAACCCTTTACTTTAGACGAAGCGTCAAATACTGGCCGTAACTTCGTAGTACTATGTTCCTTAACAACATGTCTATGGCAAATAATGATGGGGTAAATCTAATTCATTTACGGGTACTTCCTCTATTATGCCCTCTTTGAAAGCCATTCTGGAATATATTTTTTAATTTGGCGAGATTATCTATTCAAGTTGCCTAATCGTACCGTGCAACCTTTTAAAGGATAACTCAAAATTATCCGAAGGGGAGGGTGCCCTTCCAACCAAGCAAAGAACTACAAACGCGGTTCATCTTCTATTTTACAGTATCAAGAAAAATGTTGCCTGGTAGCTCATACAATTCCAATTTAGTCTTTTGTTCGGATGGGTCCGTAATACCAAGCGAGTCGAGGGCCCATAAATCAAATACAAGCCTCTTTATTCAACATTGATGTACTAAGAAATGTTGAACCTTCACTATTCAACTCCCCGGTTTTTCCCATAACCGTCCATCCTACTTTGTTTCAATAGCTTACAAGACCGTTTGAAATTTGTTTACGATTACCCCGTTAATAATCGTCCTGCAACATCGGCTCCTATTAAAATTCTATGGGTCCTTCTAAACGATCTGTAAATTTTATTCCACAGTCAGCAGCTCTTTAGCCATATTCGTCCAATAGAAGATACTATTACAAATAACAGGCTGACTTAACGCATCAAAAATTACAACTGTACGAGCAGACGTACTAAGATAAATGAATTTTGTAAACTTTATGTTCACACAAATGGTCGTCGAACCGCCAAATAATGCGTGGCTAAGGTATTCCTTTACCGTATACCTGTAACCCATATCTTGAGCTGCGCTTGCAGAATATGACCTTTGAGAACCAGTATCATTACAGCTCGAGCCGAACGAATTTTATCCCCTTTAATTATTACCTTTTTTTGCAGCAAAACTTTAGGAGACCTTGAAGAATGTTGGCGAGTGTTTCAGCCTGATTTGGAGGCTGTTCCGTTGCCCTTTGTCTCACTCTTTTGTGAATGGCCCTTACATAGAAAATATGATGCCTTTTGCCGCATGTAAACAAACTGTTTTTAATTTACACAGAATGTCCGAATTTCAGACACAGATAACAACAGCGTGTCCTTTGGACCAAAGTTTCCCTTTCCGACACAAAGATAAGTTACGCGCCTGAAAACATTCAGAACAGAACATTTATATTGGAACAAAATATACAGCCTTTTCCTAGCTTCATGAGAAGAAATAAACAGTTCAGCTGCCGTAGGTTTTAAGTGAGATTCTCTTATCTTTAAACCCAGAATTCCTTTATTATTATGTGAGCCAATCGATCAAAAACATTGAAAGAGTTAGCTGCTAAAGAAATTCTTTCCTCGCTTTCAACTTCACCACGCAAGAAACATAAAAGGCGCTCAAGGTCAGACTCCCTTTCTTTTAACTCAGCGTTTTCTCCGGTTAAACCCTCTGATCCTTTACGCGAAAACCTAAGTCTCTACCATGTTTTTAAGTACTTCATTCGGCAATGCTGATTCTACCAATGGGTACAATATTGCGCAATATTTGGCTCTATTTATTCCCAATATCTCCAAGGCTCTCAACAAGATTCGATCATACAATTTCCTTAAAGAGTATGCACCTTGTTTTTGAATAACAAGGGTTAACAAATCACGAATATAAATCTCCGTTAGTAATTCTTTGTTACCAAAACGCGTCTGCAATGCTTCGATTGCCGCTCTTGTAACTACCGCCAGTTGGCGGAAAGCTTTGAACTATTTCTTCGGCGGGAGAATTCTTCTCCATAGCCTGTGCCAAATAAGCAAATTTATCATTATCTAATGTAGGATCTTTATCAATCTTTTGGAATTGCCCCCAAAATCCTAGCCATTTCTTCACGTTGCCGTCAAACATAGGCAATTTAATCTTCGGATAATGTAATTTATCTGAACAAAGAATGGATCAATTAAAGTTACATTCGGGGTTCCAGAAGTAATCTTTTGCTTTACTTTCCAGAAGTCTCCACCTATCAAAATATAATTCAGATTCATCTCTTTTCTTTAATAAGTAAAGTCATCTGTAATTTTTTAACATTAAGTTCTCGTATTCATTTCAGTATCAAACAAAACTTTAGCTTTTCGGCAATAACTTTTATTTAATTAATTTTTCTTCCTGATTAATTTAGTTTCTCATTGTCAAATTTTACAAGCCTTACTGAATAGTCTTCTATATGAGTTCTTGCTAATTTTAAAGCTTCCAATGATTCAAAAATAAAAAAGTCGCTTACCTTGCAGACAATATCCTGTCGCTTTGTTGATTTTTCGATAATAATCCTATGTGCTGTATCTGACTTCGAATCTAAAATTTTCTGAAGAACACAAAACTTGTCTAAACTTAAAGGTTTATTTAACTGGCACTTCAACCACTGATGAAAACTTAAATCACAAACGCAAAACTTAACCATCTTGGAAACCTTCAAGTGCCTTTAAAGTAACAGCTATGCCGGCAGGTGAAGAAAACCCTTGAAATACAGAATATCTAGCCCTTTCGGTATATCTCCATTCCGCTGAGTTCAGACATCCGCTCCTACGTGTTTTGGACTTAAACAGCAGGCTGGAACTGGAATAGTACTGGATCAGGACCGGAATTGGGCTGAAAAAGACGGGAACCGGACAGGACTGGATCCGCACAAGACGGGAAGAACGGGAACCGGAACCGGGCGGAGGGAAACCGGAATCTGTCACCATGGCTTTCCCGGGCAGGTATCTTCTGCTCGAACTAAAAGGAACTGCGGTGCCACTAAGGAAAGCACGTCCTTTTATTGCCGGCGGTTGCCGTTACTACAGGCGACTTATGCAAATATTTAACAAATTAGTTTCCATACTTCATCCCATTAAAATTGCTGCAACATGAAGGAGGTGTACAATAAACGTTAAATTTGCATGAAAGTTATGATATGCTAGGATATTCAAATGATTAGCACTCCAGCGCATGCGCCCTAAGCAAGTATGATCGACGTCATCTACATTATACATATAAATAGAACAATTTCACAGCGGATTTCTCATTTGGAAATCGCATCTGAAAGTTGGTTGTTTGTGTAAAGATCATGTGTTGCCTTTTGTAAGAAAGGGAAACTCGTACCAGCCACGTGTTAGAATTCAGCCACGGTAGGATCGTACCGATCTTTTCCCTTTTATCTTTCTGCGACATACATCTCGTGTTGATTGGGATCCCATGACTGTCAAGCGAATATAGAATCAATGGGTACAGAAGGGTCATACTGAACGTCATACAGGATCTCAGCCGCTCCGGGTCACTTACGCCTGAGAGAACAGACATGTCTTCTCTAGATTGCGGATAGTGCAGCCACTTCACGTACTCTGAGTCAGGAGCATGACTCGTGTGCAGGACAACTGTCCGCATGCAGAGTACGACGGTGTCTGCAGCACCAGGGACCATCAAAACAACGACCAATGTTTGTGGCTTCCTTTGATGCTACAACAGAGACATACGCGCCTACAGTGGTGCGATGAACGACGACATTGGACACAGGAGCGACACCATGTAGTATTTTCAGTCGAATCGTAGCTCTGCGTATATCATCATGATGGACGTATTCATGCGGGGAGGCACCGAGAAGAACGAAAGTTTTCAGATCATCAGATTGTCATCATCATATGGCCCCAGCATCTGGCGTGCTAACATGAAATGCCATTAGGAATACATCCCTGTCACTTTTATTCCCATAGCTGGTAATATGGACAGTCGCTGTTATATTTCTCACACTTTAAGGCTCGTGCCTGTGCCCTACCTTCGAGGCTTGCATGAAGTCAACTTCAACAAGACAACTCACGAGCACACATTGAGCGTACTGTCCTTCCTTAATGCGGAGGATATTCGACTGTTGTCTTGAATAGCACGTTCTCCAGATCTTTCATCCATTCAGAAATCAGGTTGTGGATTGCCGAGTGACTGTCACGCCCGCACTCGCCAGCCTCTACGGTTAAAGAAACTTGGTACAGAGATGAATCCGCATGGAATGAAGTACCCATATATGTCATCCAAGCTCAGTTCCACTCGATGTCCAGCCTGATTACAGCCGTTGTTGCTGCCGGAGGTGACTGCTGTGTGAACTAAATTCTGCACAAGGTCTTCACCAAACTATCTGCAAATTTAATGACGTATTTTTCCCATTATACTGTATATGTACAAAAAATAATATTCTGATATAGCAATTTTAATGACCAACAATGTATTTTTCAAAAATTTTAATACGGTTATTTTTATAGTAAAGTTTTCTGCAAATACTTTTTTAAATTATATTCTTAAAATAAAAATGCCTTACCATTTAGTATGAATATTCTATTCAAATTATGGTAATAGTTAGTTCATAACTTTCAAATAAGCGATTTTAGTACATTTTTTATTTAAATATTACTCGGCTTCTTATTTATCCTGCTGTTTATTATTTGCAAAAACTCATATCATGAATTTATCATTTCAACTAATGATTTTAGTTTTTCACATTTTCAGGCTTTTAAAATTGATTACTTTGCTATCTTCCAAATCTCTGCCGACATTTAAAGCACTTAATGTATTTGTATTTTTGCCTCAATCGGGATAAATATACCATATCTGAACCACCAAATGAAAGTGTAATAAGGCAATAAATATTCATACAGAAGGAAGGAAACTAAAATTTCAGAAATCAACACACTTTAAAAATATCCCCAACAAAACGTTAAATCAAAAGAAGAACATTGTTGCAGTTCTTCTTTTGATTTAACGTTATTTATGCTTAGTTATTTATGCTTAGTATTAACTGTAAGTCTTCATGAGTAATGTTCATTTTAACACTTTTCTCCCAAATTTCCCAATAGGGTAATGTTACAAGTCCAGCAGTGCCTCTTGGAATATTTGGAGGTCTTTCAGTTATCAGTGCGTTACTGGTTATCAAACTTCCCGAAACGAATACATTTCCAGTTCCTGAAACCCTTGAACAGGCAGAAAACTTTGGGAAGTAAGTTATTTCATTTATTACTAAAACTGCGCTTTCAGCGACTTTTACCTTTTTCTTTTGATCGGTTAATTTAATTATTTAAATGAATCAAGAAAATCAACCTAATTCAACATATAAGAGAAACATGCCAGAGTAAAATTTAAAACTAGGCAAAACATAGCAACCTAATTCAAAACCTAGGCCAAATTATGATTGCATTTTTTTGCCTGTAACCGATAAAATATGCAAACGACTTCAAAATGGATAGTATATACTTTAAGAGGTCTTAAAATACATGCAAACAATTATTTTTTTATATAGAGCACATGGTCGAAGGAATATTGGGATGTGGTAAAGCCACGAAGGCTATCTGCCTGAAAGAAAGAATACCTTTGTCGAGGACCTTTCTGAGAGAAACGGGTTTGCATTCACGTTACACATGGGGAAAACCAAGAAAACTTGTTATGTAGCCATCCCATTCGCTTGAGTTCGAACCAAAACCATATCGAACTACCAGTATTCAGTGGTCTTAAAGACACTAGAGAACACTTGATACAGTAGTCAATGAAGTAAGGAGCAAATATAAAAGTGACAGTGAGGATAAAAATTAATTTCATCGCGAATAATTACAGTAATTGCTAGAAAAAGCAACCGCCAACTCAAGCCAGCGATGGAGAACTTGATGGAAGATGAGGCTCTCGAGATGTCTTCAGAAAAATATATCACTCGAGAGATCAGGCAATCGTAACAGCCTAAGTAAGGGACAACCTGGCCGAATCTAATGACTCGTGAAAGTGACAGCTGGGTACTTTCTTACGTCTTGTCGAAAACATGCTGTCCCATTGTGCTGAAACATACGTTGTTGGATGCCTGCTGGAAAATCCTCCAGCATTTCTAGCAAGATTTCCTGCAGGAAGATACGGTATTTCCTCCCTTTCAGATGGGAAGTGCAAATGGGCTTTCTCTCAATCGTGTACTGATCCATAGCCTCACAAGTTGAACTTGCGGTGCATTACTTGTCGAGCTGTTGCTTGTTACAAGCAAATACCCTATATCACCTTTACGTTTCATTCTCACCCATGCATTATTAGGGAGAAAGCTGTATTCTGAAACTTCTAATTAGTTTTTCTATTTTTTGGAACACCCTGTATAATATCCAATATATATTCGCAAATCTAGCTGAGCTAAAACAATAGTTGAATGTAACTTGCCATAAACATTAAAATCAGGAAAATCAGCATCAGCATATAATTTGTTACTAGACATGGACGAATCCGAATTTGAATCCTAAACGATTATCGAATTTCTCACATCTTTCGAATGTTGAATCATTTTTGTAAGCTAAATAAGAAAAAGAAAAATGAAAAAATGAGAACTTTTAACTAAACTTTTTTAATTGAAGCAAAATTAAAAATTCACATTTAATGAAAAACAAATTTAAGAATGAATTATTTAAAATACACCTGCGTTTGTTCAGAAAAGTCGTGTGAAATTTAGTAGATGAAATCTAGAATTAAAAGTCTTGAAACATGTGGTTCAATATAATTAAACAAAAATATTTGAATATAGGTTAAAATTCTTTTTTGATACCCTGATACAGGCTGATCATTTCCTAAATTTCTGCAAAGAGCTCCTTTTCAGTTAGCTGAATTAATCCAATAGAGAGGGGTGAACATCTCACGTGTAATGTCCTATACACTTTTATCATATGTAAGTAAAGAGACATTAATGAGAGGTAAAGGAACAGATATAATACTACTTATAAGAGAGGCCCACCAATAGCTGAGTGATTAATATGCACTGCTGGCCATTAAAATTGCAATACCAGGAAGAAATCATCTGCGAACGTCAAAATCATATGAAAGGAAGAAGAGGTTGGGATATGCAAATGATTAGTATTTCAGACAATTTAGACGATGCAGGGGGGGGGGAGAGAAACGACATCTGAATATCTGCATAAAAGAAAAGTTGTGTAGTGGATATCCCATTCAGAAAGCGCTTTGTAGGATCGGAGTTTGCCCAGAATATCGTGTTATGTCTCGAATAATAAGAAAAAATACTGCCTCTCGAGAGTGTGGATTATCGTTCCGTTATATCGCCCATCACACTGATCAACATCCAACCACTGTCACACGAATATGGAATCAATGGTTTTCTGAGGGTCATATTGAACGCCATGCAGAATTTCAACGCCTTCCTATGACTAACGCCCGAGAGGACAGATATTGTGAGGTCAGGCCTGCAAAACCGTACAGCCACATCAGGGACCGATAGTCAGGAAATGGGCATGTTTGCAACACGCTCAGTGTTCACTCGTACAGTGTGTCGACGTTTGCAGCCGCGTAAAGTATCAACACGACGGCCATTAGTTCGACTTCCCGTGACAATGCAGCACAGAGAGAGACGGAAACTCTGGTGCGCCGAACGCAAAGCTGGATACAGGAGCGGCAGAACGTCGTCTTTTCGACAGTCCGGTTTCTTGCAGTATTCAATGCCTATGTGTCTGGGGCTACGTCGCCTGTTGATTCGATATGCATAGGGCCTGCATCTGGGTGAGTTTGGGAGCCTTTGTACATGACACCACATCCTACTTCGATCGACAGAATGTGACAAAAGCTTTACCTAGAGTTCAATTTTGGACCGGACTCGTATTTCTTAGTGTCTCCTGAATTTGGGACACGAGTGGGGAGGTGTGGCGTGGGTCGTTGATGGCGTATAGTACCGATAGGCTATCAGTATAGATTGTAAAATCTTCTGCTGTGGTAGTTTGTGCCCATTCTATTGCTTTCAGCAAAGCAAGGGCTTCCGCCTGGAAGACCGAATTGTGCGGAGACATATGGCACTTCCAGGTTTGCACTTCAGTGCCATTATGGAAAACTGTATATGCGCTGCCGACTGCATTGTCCATCTTCGACCCATCCGTGTAAATCATGAAGCCCGGGCCCTCTATGGATGGTGGTAATTCAGGGGCGAAGTGAGTCACAACACCTTTCCCGTAATCCTGAAGGGTGCGTTTTAAGTTTTGAACTTTTAAACTCGAAGTCTGCAGGGTCATAGCTGAGCTCCCCAAATCGTGCTTTTCTATGCAGTTGGGAAAACATTGTAATTGCGGCTTCCTGCTGTGCTTTTATTGGTAACGGGATTAGTCCCGCCAGAACTGCTGCGGCTGCTGTCGACGTTGTTCGATATGCCTTTGTAATCGCCAGTACGAAAGGTCTTTGGGAACTTTGAAGAATTTTTTGTTTCCTGCAGGTCATGGGGTTTGCCCAGATTGCCGCCCCGTAGATCATGATCTTTTCTGCTACTGCAGAGTATAGGATCTTTAGAATATGGGGACGCAGTCCCCATTTGGAGCCTTGCATTTTCCTTAGATTCATGGCTATTTTTAATGCTTTTGTTCTTTGCGATCTTAAATGGGGGATCCAGGTAAAGCCTTCATCTAGTATGATACCTAGGAGCTTCATCTCTTTAACTCTTTTAATCCTGTGACCTGCCATCGTAATTGTCGGGTTTCTTTGTAAGGTCTGGCCCGGTTTATGGTAGATGATATATTTAGATTTTGAATGCGAGATGTTAAGCTTCTTAGCCTTGCAAAGGTCATAGAACATGTCAATGACTTCCTTGCAGTTTTGTTCAAGGATGACGCGGCTTTTCCCACTGACCACGAAAGTGGCATCATCTGCGAAGGCTGCGACTGTTGTGTGAGCCGGCCATTCTGCTTTTAGAATCGAGTTAAATGTTAAGTTCCACAGGTCTGGACCTGCGCATGATCCCTGTGGGCAGCCTCTTTGCTGTGGCCTGGTAATTATTCCACCATTGTGAACCGCGATGAAGCTGCGGTTACTGAGATAACTTTTAAAAATCTGTAGGATGTTATTTGGGATGTTAGCTGCATGTAAAGCTTCTAGGATTGCCGGCCACCACAGGGAGTCAAATGCACTTTGCAGATCCAGACTGAGGACTGCCACATGCTGTTGTTCTTTGCGCAGTCGCTTGACTTCCTCGCAGACGTGCTCCAGGACATTAAGCGTAGAGCGATGCTCCCGAAAGCCATATTGTGCATCTGAGAGAACACCGTTTTTTGCTATATGATGCTTCAGCCTGAGAACGAGAAGCTTCTCGAAGAGCTTTCCCAGGACTGGCAGAAGGCAAATTGGTCTAAAGGACGAAGGATCATTGGGGTCCTTGCCTTCTTTCGTAAAGAGGACCACTTGGCCCGTTTTAAAATGTGTTGGAAAGTGCTTAAGACTTAGAAGTTTGTTGAAGTAAGCCACTAGCAGTCTTGGACAGGCTTTGTAGGTTGCCCTCAAGATCCGGTAGTCTATAGAGTCCGGCCCTGGTGCCTTTTTGACCGGGAGAGTTCGTATAAAACAGTTGTGACCTCCTTAACTGTAAATGGGGGATCATCTGGGACTGTCGTGGACAGGCTGTATGCCTCATGTTCAGAAGAAACATCATTCCCATCATGTGGGAATACTGCGTCAAGGATGCGTTGAAGTGTGGTGGCCATGAAGCCTTGTGACCCTATGTGTGAACCAGCATACGTGCGATGTAATGGTGGTATGAATACTTTGCTGGAGGCTATCTTGTGTAGTACGCCGAAAACTTCAGTGTGCTGTGTGCAGAAGTTCCTCCAGCTATCGAGCTTTGCCTTCAGAATGTCCTTCTTGTACTGAGCCTGCGCTCTTTTGTATTCTACGCTGAGTTGTTGTCTACGATCCGGGTCCCGTTCTTTTTTCAACCTTCTGCGCATCGCCCGCGTGCGGCTTCGCTTGGTCCGTAGCTCCTTTGTCCACCAGCTGGCAGCTTTAAGAATTTTGGGAGATTTGATGCTCATCGTACCGTCGCATGTTTGCTGTATTAACTGCACCAGGTTACATGTGATGCGATCTGCGTCTTGTGCCGTGGAACGTGGAACAATTGTTCAGTTCATCTCCTTGCTGTTCCAGGACCAGTCTCATTTCTCGGGTGAATTTCTTTAAGTTATGTGCCGAGGTTCTATATCGTTTAAGTGATAATCGGGAATGGGGATGCATGAGGCTGAAAGTGATGTATCGATGGTCTGAGTTTGTGGGCGTATCCTGCACCTCCCAGTTCTGGATTTTTGTAGCCAACTCTACTGTGGACAGCGTGAGATCTGGCCATCCCTGTCCAGTAGTTGTCTCGAAAGTGGGGAGGCATCCTTGGGTGTTGTGTAGAATTAGGTCATGACTCGCTATAAAGTCCTCAACAAGTCTACCACGTGGATCAGTAAATGAGTAGCCCCACACTTCAGAGTGGGAGTTAAAGTCTCCGACTAAAAGGTGGTTGCTGGAGGGATAGTCTCGGAGTGTTGTCTGCAGCTGGTCAAGATATTCTGCGGCTTCCGCTGTGGGTGGGATGTAGGTATTCGTAATCAGGAGACTTAGTCCCACTGCATCAATTGCTATGGTAACTTGGTCTCTTGACAGTGAGATACTCGTAAGTGACCATTTGTTACGGCAGCAGACTATGGCAGCTCTTGACCCTTCTCTTTCCGGGTTCTCGAAAATGGTCCAGGATAAGGGGAATTCTGCCACCCTTCCTGCTTGGATGTATGGTTCTTGTATGAGCAGAAGGTCAGCCTCTGTTTCCATTGCATAGTGGACTAATTGGGCGGTAGCTGCCCGAGCTCTCTGGAGGTTCACCTGTATGATCTTAACCTCTTCTTGCGCATCTAGGAGAGAGTTAATGTCCTGTCTTTCGGTACTATTGCTTTGTTGTGACATTCTGTAAGGTTACAACGTTGGGTGACAATGGAGGGAAAATGAGACAGATTAGAGAGTATGCTTTTGGTGTCACCATTATGCAGTATAGGTACACTTGGTATTCAATTGGTGACTGAGGTACCGTAATCTGTCCGGGCCTTGATCTTAAGCACTTGCAAGTGAAAGGAGGGGCAGTCAGGGGCATATGCGGCATGCACAGTGTCGAAGTCTCTCCCCGAGTGCTGGTTGGCAATTAGACAGTTTACACAGCTCGGGCTATCAGCCATGCATTTTTTGACATCGTGGTTTCCACCACAATATGCACAATGATACCTAAATTTACAGTCTCTTGCCGAATGTTCGAAGTCCTGGCAGATGAAGCATCTGCGTGCCCCTGTAAACTCTGTCACACGATGTTCCCTCCATCCCTGGAACGAAACTCTTTGATCCATCAACGTTTTAAAGGCTGTCGGTGAACAGTCTAAAATCCATTTAGCCGCCTTGTTCCTCCGATCGCTGATCCTGAAAGAGACCTTGAAATCATCTTTACTGATAGTAAAGGTCCTAGAGACAAGGTCTGCTACCTCCTCCGCCGGGGTACCATACTGTTTACGTACAATTAATATCTTTTCTGTATTTGCTTTCCTTCATGGTGTTGCAAATTTAATGGCAAGCAGTGTAGATAAATATTGGTAATTTGCTCTTTTTTCGAACTAGCCGGAAGGGCTTTCATAGTTTTTGTCGTGTATAATGTGGAATACGAATAATTTTCCCTTACAATGCTCTCCACAAAGACATCTTTTCCCCTAATGCCTATATTCCTTGCTTGCTTTGCCATTTTCAAATCTCTTTCTATCTTCTCATAAGCTTTTAAAAACTAAGATAATGTAGAGGAATTACAGTTTTTTTGTTCCTTTGGTAACATCATAAGGTATTTCCCCCGCCTTCTTAGCAAGCTTTCGTGGTGTAGTGGTCGGCACACTCAGCGCGTAATTGAGAGGTCCGCGGTTCGATTCCCGGCGAAGGCGTTGCTAATTTTTCTTTTTGCTTGCTTCCAAAAAATACCTAATATCTCTACAACATACCCAAGTGCTAAAAACGGAATGTTAAATTCTTTCCAAAAAATTAAGAATGGAACTCAGACCTTTCACGAATTGGTAGGAAGGAATTCAAGAATTAATAAAATTGCAATTATGGCCTTTTTCTTTAATGAACTCTTCTTTTGCACGTTAATAAAACTAATATTCCCAATGTTCTGAATTAAAACTTTTAATGATTTTTTTTTATCAGGGTTCGAAAGATTTGAATGATGAAAAAAGCACAAACATTCGATTTTTTTAATCTTGATTTTTTTCAAGATACATGGATATCGAGTTTGCAGATACCCCAGCTTATTCCTTACACTTAAAAGAGTAAACTGAAAAACATGAATTTCATATTTGGATTTTCTTATAAGAATTTATAATCGTGTAGTGTAGAAAAATACATAAAACTTGATATAGTATTTGTGTCTTCGTCAGTTGTGAAGTCGCTTACGAACAGTCGTATTTTTCCTTTAAACTTGATTATCTTTACTTCTTAATTTAAAGCATTTTAGTCTTAAATATTAACCTGCTGAATGCAACTCATATTCTTGTAAATGAAAATAAATAATGGATAAATTCATATAAAAAGCAAAGAAAGTTATACGTATGTGCTCAACGTTTTCCTGACGTTTCATAACGTTAACGTTACGGTACTATAACGTTATTTTTTCTGTGACTTGGATTCCACAGATGACAGACTACTCTTCGTTAGAGACTACTGGTCAGCGATATGGGATGTGAAGATTTGAGCGCTTCAGTTAATCCCTGTTTTAAATTAAAGCCCAAAACAAAATATTTTAATTAAAATATTATTACCTTACAATTAATAAATAAACGGATTAAATTTTAATTAATATTACCTCTATCATTTTATCATATGTTCTTCTATTTCAAGCTATTTTATTAGAATAAGTAAGTACAGGAACTGGAGTTAAGAAAAGAGCGATTCATGTGTACAAGTGCTATCTTATTGCTTGTTTTTTCCTCTGTAGACGTAAGAAAAGTAAATAAATTACCTCATTTTAAAATGATGAAGAATTAATAAAAAAGGTGTCAATAAATGCAGCAATGACTTTATTATAAACAGTTATGTATTTTATTTAACAGTTATCTATACTAGTACTTTGTTTTAGAAAAGGCTCCAAATACATCTTCAGTAAAGAAAGGTGATAGAAATTTTTTCATATGATGGAAAAATTCTGATTATTTTCTTTTTCTTTTAATTCCTTTCCTAGGAAAACTTAGCTAATGGAATAAAGGACGAAGATTATTTTAATAATGGTCATCTCTTCAGATCATCTGTGAATCTCAGCAAATATGGGTGACATTGCCCAGCGACTGAACTGAAGATATGAATTATCTGTTGAAAGAAGTTCTTTTTTTTTTCATATTCACTATTTTATGCTTGTTACAGGCTCGAAATATATAATTCATTAAAAACTTGTTAACCTTTTAAAATGTTGTGAGCATGCCATATGTTTTCATGTGTGTAGGTGTTTTTTCAGGATGTAAAATTTATTTTTTCGTATTAAATACTTAATTATGAATTCAACTGAGAAGATTTTTAAAATTCAGAGAAACTACACTAAAATGCTGAAGAAGTTATTGACTGGAATATTAGTTAACAATTTGGTATTTCTAAACCTATGGCGTTCAGAACACTTTCGTGTTAATCTGAAGAAAAATACTTGTATATTTTTACACTTTTAATTTCTCTCTTCATATATTTTTAATTGCCGCTGTTGATATAGTCCCTATACATTTTCACAGCGAATTTTGAAATAAGATAAAATTTATGTGAGATGTAAATTACTACTATTAAAATTTTTTGTTTCTAAGAATTAGTCGTGAATTATTGATATGTATCATGAACTCGGTCAAATTAAAATATATATATATATATATATATATATATATATATATATATATAAATCGCATGGTACATTAAGGATTTAATTTTAACTAAGAATAAATTAAGTGAATGATTATTTTAATTTAGCAATGCAGTGAAATAACTGCTTGTGAGAGTAAGTAGACTATGAGTTCTTGTAATTATGATTGTAATGGCAGTACATTTTTCGTAGATTCACCTACACCCTAAAACCACCAACAAAAGTCCTAACCATTCTGAGAGCTATTAGGTTTTCTTCGGATTAAGAAACATGACAAACCAACAATGCCCTCGTCGGGATTCCAACCGCGAATCTCTCCAAGCTAGAAAGGCATGCTACCAGTTGCGCATAAGTGTTCGCGCGGGGATTTCAATAATTCCCTACATCCTTCTCCAATTAAAGGAGACTAAGAAGAAGGGAACGAGACCAGTAGCCAAATCCATGAGGTGATGAATTATCCGTTACGTTAGTCCGGTTTCAGGGTTTCATTGCAGATTTTTCAGGTTTTTTTTTTTTTTTTTTTTTTCTCCTTTGGAGCAAGAAACACGGAAAATCAACTATACCCTTACTGAGATTCAAACCACATTACCGGTTACATCACGAGAGCACGCGGTGTGTGTGGAGGGGGGTGAGCATGACAATTCTTCACATACTTTATACGATCTTTTAGTTGCTCATGATTAAGTGCCGCTTTTAAGTTGTAAAGGGAAGCTTATCATATTCTATGGCACATTTCTAAAACAAGCGGACGATTTGCAAGAAATCGGACTGGATTTCTAAACTGAGAAAGATATGACATTGCACGATCTAGCACAGAATTATGTTACTTAGGTTGCTAGTCTCACTTTATAAGTGGTAAATTAGCACCTTTCACAAAATCTAACTGAAAGAAACGCATAAGTAAATGTTGTTATTAAAAATGAAATTAAAATTGATACCATTTAAATTCAGTAACATAAAACTTCATTATACTCGTATTTTACCAATAATAAATAAGATTAAAGCATGCTTACTGAAACTGTTAGCAATTTCCCGTAAAAGTGCTTGCTCTCTTTTTAATAAGGCTCTTTTGTTTAGCCGGGCAAATTACCGAATAGCTTATATAGTAGTCGCTTTAAATCAACTCAAAATTTCAGTATTGTTATAGCTTAACTGTGGGTGTCTAACACTTAGTATTTAGAGACTGATATTAATATGTAAAAAGAATGTGTATGGAGAAGACATAGAAATTTAAATCCTTAAATGTTCTTAAAACCTGAAGTAAGCTTGTAAGATATATGAGCTCGAATCAAATTACCATCTAGAAAATGAGCTTAAATGTGTTTTAGACATACAAATTACACATGTGGATGCTTTGACACAAATTTATTTTCTTTTCATCTGGTTTGCTGAAACTTCAAGTATAAAATTACAAACATGAATATTAAACCGTTCTGAAGATTCATTATATATCTTCTTTTAATTGCAAATTCTGAAAAGAGAGTTATGTGATATTTTGGTGATCATCCCTCGTCATTTTAAGGCAAAAATAAACAGTTTACTAATTACGTTATTCTTGTTGTACCTGTTAAATTCGAAAATCAAAACAAAATCTTGCCATTTCCCAGCCATAGAAAATGACTGGAAATAAAAACCGATTACTGTCAGAACCCCTAATTATGGTATCCGATCAGCATACTCTTCATCTCACTCCACTTATATATTGAAGTAATATCAAAATAGGAAAAAAAATCAAATTCAATAGAAAATACATTCACAGTCATAATCTATCTTTAATTCTACGTTAAAAGTGTCATACTTGATAACCATCTTCCAAGGAATCCTTTCTTTAAATCGGAGTTTCAGTCGCGTTATAAGTAAACGTCTAAAGATGGAATCTTGGAGCATTTCAACTGCGACTAAACTTCTCTGGTTTTCATTTTTGCAGAATATTGAAGTCCTTTTTCAGCTTCAAATTGTATGCAGTTGACAAGCACCATTTCCCAAATTTCTTAACTGTCATCGGAATGGTTATAACTCAATTAACATTATCTGTTAACTAAGTTCGAAGTTAACTAAGTTAACAGATCTATGCAATCAGAACACTCGACTTCATAGAATTTTGAACTTTAAAGTTCTATTAACAGAGTCTTCTTGGTGGTACACAAAAATGACGGTAGATTTAAAATTGTCATACTGTAGGAATTACCAGCTCCTCGAGCATTGGATTAAAGAATAGCAAACCTCATTTTTATGAGGTTTCCATGCAAAGTATTAATATAATGCCGACATTCACATAACAATGCGTATAAATTAGCTTCTCGTTTTAATAACGCAGACATCGTAAAACTTTCTATTTAAAAAGCGCACTAATGAAAATATCTGGAAGATCAAAATTTTACATCTTTCTTTAAAGCTTAATTATACAGTACAATTGTGCACAGCTAAACATACATCCGTTGGTAGACAATGGGTTAATTTAAAAACAAAATATCAAGGACCTCAGCTTCCAAACTTGTTCTCCACGGATATTAAAAAAAAGTGTACAAACAATGCTACTTGAAAAATCTAAAAATTTGTAATTATGACAACAAATTCCCTATTTATTCATATTTATTGCAGATAAAGGTTTACGTGAAATATAAGACTAGAAAAATATTCAAATAATAACATCATTTATAAAAGAGATTATATGCATTTTAAATTATTCTGCGATTTAGTCCCTATAAGAGTTTGAATGATATATCTCAGCATCTTAAAGTTTGAAGGTTTAAAATGATCTACATAAATGCTAATCGAAAAAATATACAGAAAATTTAAACTATGTTTCATTTTTGTTTCCATGACTTTAACCTAGGCTGGCACTTAATGCAGCTAGTAAACTATACTTCAAAACTCGCAGTACCAATTGCTATCCCGTACACGAACTACTGTCCTGAATAACCCAAAATACTATTGAAAATACAAACTACTGTCCTAAATAATCAAAAATCTTTTTTATTAAACGTTTTATTAAACGATATTGATATCAGTTCGATATGATATTGATAGGGCGTAAATAAAACCATTCGTCGTCGCTTCAGTATTCTGTAACGTCGAATTCTCTTACGCATCATAATTGTATTCCAAGCTGCAGCAACAAATACCTTGTAGATCTTAGCATTGAATATTTTAGAAGTTCCAGTTTTTTGGCTGCCATGAACAAAACACAAAGCTGATAAATGTTCACGATCAGTGTTGACATAGGTAATCACTCCTATTGTGAACTTTCTAATGGACAATGTAAATGAAGCTGGTGCTTTATTAATTCCACTTACTATTTTTTATTCCCTTTTTGGCTCGAAATCTGCTGTCCCGACCCTGGCCTTGACTTTAGTAGCTATTTTCTTTCTGATAGACATCAAGACACTAAAAGCTATTGAGGGAGAGGCATCTGTCTCTTTACCTTGAGGACTGCTATTACTGCCACTAACGTCATATATTTTACGAAAGGAGAAATTTAGGAGCAAAATTTCTTCAGAAAAAGTGTGCCTTTTCCCAGAGTCGAATACTGAACCTCCTAATGAACAATTCGTCGTGCTGCTCGTCACTTTGCAAAAGAATATAGGAAAAATGTGTTTAATTTTACAGCTTTTGGAGTGAATATGAAAAGAGAGATCGTCTGAAAGTAATCCAAAAGATTTTATTGTGAAAACATAATAGAAATCTTACAAAGTTATTTTCAATACATTCTGAATAAGGAGAAATATTTGCTGTGTGAGCAAATGGAGGCATATCTTCTGCATTTGCAAAGATCATCTGCGGTAAATTTAATTAAGCACATCTGATATTCTGCTTGCTTTTAAAAGTACGTGGACAATCATCTATTCTATATTTCTGTTAATTTTTTATGAAGAAAATTTACAACTAATTGTCAGGTTTGTAATCATATACATTATACGTATGTTTGATTGAATTCCGTAACATGTCACATGCTCTTTTAATAGCTAACTTCAGAGATCTTGTTCCAAAATAAAAAGGCATGTTAACCTACTTTTATGTTTTTAAAATCTCCATTAATAATTTTCAAAATTATTGAAAAGAAAACCTTTGCAGAATTTGACTTTCTTCGGTATTATAAATTAGTATCAAACTTCTAACAGACGTAGAGCGAATTATCGCTGGATTCAAGTGTCAACAGAATTATGGAAAGGTTCAAACAACCTTTTCATTAAAACAGAGTTTGCCCGTCTCGTGCTTGACAAGATCAGCCACCACTTGTGACGATGTAACTTAAAGTAACAGTCAATTTCAAAAGTTAAACAAAGTCTAATAGCCAAAGACTACACAATTGCTATAAAACGAAGTTGGCTCAAAACCTTTCACAGGAGTAATAATTTCAGTGTCGGCAGCAATAACGCAAAGCCGAAGAATTACAGTCTTATCAAAGCTGGCGAAACCTAGTAACATGGCCTCCAGGGGCAGAAAAACGCTCTATTTTTACAATCCAAAAGTCTCGACTTAAACACTCTCTTCCTATGCATTCTGATCAGAAAGGAGAAATGATAGTGAAGCTGAAATTTTAAATAACTGGTTAATTAAAATAATAATAATCTTTCATCTTTAGAATTAAAAATAAGAAATAGACGCAATTAAATAAAAATTAATTAAGCGAGAAACAACAGTAATTCATATACAAATG